CTTCCTGATCAGGTGTGGGCCATAATCCCAAAAAACCACAATCCCATACATCCATAATCCCAAACACTGAAATTCCGAAAGATCAGAATCCTGAAAATCCAATTCTGGAGAAAATAATTTTTAAAATTGTTTAAAAACATTTATTTGCATTTTAAAAGTGAGTTTGAGAAACATATAAAACATATGATGGAATGCTTCATAGACCACTTTACCCAGTATTATGAATAGGCAATATGACATTTTTGCAAGTATACACAGGTACATTAACAACAAGGATGTGGATATAGCAACTATCAGCTGGCAAAACAATATTCAGAAAATAGATCAAAAAACAAAATGTATAAAAGCAAATCAGGGGCCAAGAATACTAACTCAGTCATAGATTGTCCACCTAACATGCACAAAGCCCTGGGTTTGATCCACAAAAGTTTTTTAAGTAAATAAAACTTATCATATTGTTATGATTAGCAATTATGTATATACCCAGCTTTATAACTACAGTCATCTGAAATACCATGACAGATAACCTAAGTTGTTTTGTTTTGTATCCCAGGCTAGCCAGGAACTCACTATACAGCCCAAGCTGGCTGATCTCAGACTCAAAATCCTCCTGCCTCAGCCTTCTGAATGCTGGGATTATAGTATTGTGCCACCATGCCTGGCTCCACTTAATTTTGATGAGACTTTCAGTACAGTGTCTTAACAACTTGTCTTTTGACAAGACTGATTGTAAATCACTATGGGTCACCACCACATAAGCTGCTGCCCAAAGAAAGAGCTGAGAACTCAAGAAATTTTATCCTTTACAAACTCAAAAATACAAAAAAAAATTCATCCTTTCTTTCATTTACTGAGGAAATCTTAATGTTTCACATACACGCACAATACTTAGAAAGTTAGTATTGTGATAAATGCACTTACCTTGGGTCAAATTTGAAAAAAAAAATGCAGAAAACAAATGAGAACTCTCTACATTGTTTTAAGTGCACAGAAATTAGTCCATTCAACACAGACCACAGGTTTGGCAGAAACAATACAGATGACCAAATAGCAACACTGATGCATAAATGTCCTCACATCTACCCTGCACATAACTATTTTTGAACCCGTTAGTAACTGCTGGCTTCTTCAGATAAATGTAGCTTCAATTCATTAAAAGTTCCTAGAATTTCATCAGCTGGAAGGAATGCCAAAGCAGACAAACTGATACAGTTTTAAATCAAAGTTTGAAGGCCAGTCAGCAGAACACCTAAAACAATCTTTTAGAAACTGTAAAGTGCATATGGCAAGTGCTAAAAAGTATTGTTTGTTTTGTTTTGTTTTTTTTAAAGGGATTCTTACTGACCAAGCTAAATTTGGTCCTTGCTGCCCACTTGCTATCTGATCTTCCTCATTTATAAAATGGAGGTAATACTTATTTTATGGGATTGGTTTAGAAAGGAATTACTAATCCATGTTAAATGTATGGCACAGTACCTGGCAAATATTAAGTACCTAAAAAGAGGGCTAAGTAGTATTATTCGCAAGTCAAGTTACAACTTCCTATATAATTCTGTTCAAATAAATGTTTATATATGCGCTGCATGATTATGAAGAAAATTATAAAATAAACAAACTAATAATATTTGTTACCTTGGAAGATAAAGTTAGGGGGACAGAGTAACTGCTAACTTTTTCTTTGCCAACCTCTAGGTTATTTGGCTTCAGAGTGTGAATGGAAAAATCCAGCAATCTACCTCTGCTGGTAAAAGGGGAGGGGAGTGCAATGAATGATGGACACTCAGGGAGAATTTCCACAGATAACTGATAATATTCTGTATCTTGACTGTGTAATATGCATCTGGGTATTCATTCATTGTATTATTTACATCAGGAGTCAGCAAACTTTTTCTATAAGACAGATAGTAAATGTTTCAGACTTGCAGACCATATAATCTGTGTTGCAATTACTCAACTCTGCTATTATAGCACAAAAGCAACAGAGACAATAACAAATAAGCATGACTGTGTTCCAATCAAACTAACAGGGCATAGGCCATAATCTGTTTGTGGTCCTGATTTATACCTTTATATGTTATACATACTCTTCTTTATGTGTGAAAAAACTGAACAATTTAAAAAGATCAAACATACACATGCAAAAAAGCTATGAAATCTGTTCCCTACAGCCAGACATGGTGGTGCACACCTGTAATGCCAGCTACTTGTTAGGCTGAGACAGGAGGAGTGTGAGTTTAAAACAGGCCTGGGCAACCTAGTAACATCCCATACCAAAAACAAACAAGCTGGACATGATGGCTCACACATGTAATCCCAACTACTCAGGAGGCAGAAATTGAGAGGATCACAGTTTAAGGCCAGCCAGGGCCTTTTCTTAATCAATAAGCAGGGAGTGGTGACTATCGTCTGTGATCCCAGCTATGCAGGAGGCTACCAAAGGCCAACCTTAGATAGGAAGATTGCAGTCTGAGGCCAGCCCCAGGAAAAAATTCAAGACACTGTCCAGTGGCTTACACCTATAATCCTAGCTACTCAGGAGGAGAGATTAGGAGGATTGTGGTTTGAAGCCAGCCTGAGCATATTATAGCTCAAGAAACCCTACCTCAAAAAAACCCCTACAAAAAAAGGGCTGGTGTAATGGCTCAAGGTATAGACCCTGAGTTCAAACCCCAGTACCACAAAAAAAAATAGTAAGACACTATCTGAAAAATAACTAAAAGCAAAACAAGTGCTGGAGGAGTGGCTCAAGTGGTAACATGCTTCCTGAGTTCAAATCTCAGTATCACTCACACACACACACACACACACACACACACACACACACACACAAAGAATTCAGGGCAAAACAATTCAATTTTAAATCTACAATCCAAACACCTTAAAGTTTCAATACTTATTTCATCTAAAAAAAAAAAAATCCTCCTCAGTTCTCTCTTTAGCCCTCATCCTTCATGTACTAAAATATTCACATCACAGTCTGTCTCTGCCTATTAAGAAGATGGAAAAATACAATCAGCCCTTTGGTTTCTTTTTAAGCACCTGCCCCACCTTATACACATTCTTTCAATTTTACAACGTCCTCCTCTCCAAAATAATGAATTTAAGGTAGAAAGAGATGAGGAAGAATGGAAATTTATAGGAAAGAAAGCATGACTGATACTTGTTACCAAGAAAACATTTTCCCTTTTTGCTCTTAATAGGCTGCAAAGCTGATGGAATTAAATTATAACTATAGCAACTCAGCTGGTATCCATGAGCCTTTCTTTCCAGCAGCATCCTTGCACACAAGCACAGACACTATATGCTCAAGACTGTGGGCAACTGTAGGCAGCCAGGAGCAGCAGTAAGGAGCCTGCAGGGAGGACAAGTCAGCAGAAATGTCTAAAGGCTGTCTGAGATGTTAAGAACAATGTAAAGGAGCAATTGGCTACATTTTGCTGCAAAGCTGGGTAGTTTAAAAACAAAAAGTCTCTGCCAGGGTTCATCTGACTTGCCTTCACTAATGCCAATCAAAACTAGTATCTTTAAAAATAACACTGGGGAATCTCTACCCCCATTTCCTGCATGGGGAGCAGGAAATGTTTTTCCCTTTTTTTTTTTCTATTTCTCCCCACTTTTATCCTGTTATACTAAATTCCCTTCCTAACAAAGTTTACTAGATGCTTTGTAAAGCATATAGTAAAGAAGAATTTCTATAACCACCTAGGGTAGCCTAAAGAAGAATTTCCATAACATCCTTACTGACTCTACAGAGCAACCAAAACATTTAGCTCTCAAGATTAATTACAAAAGAAATGTAGTATTCATACTTACTCTGGTGACATTTATTAAGCACCTAAAACAGACAATCCCCCCACATTAACACCAGCACTTAAGTCTTCTTCAAGTTCAAGGAACAAAGACTAAGGAAATGACTGGTAATTTCTCAAATCTCTAACACAGAATTTCAGTCACATTCCACGCCCACTAAAGGCACAGTACCATCTTCCCCTTTATCCTTTCATTGCCCTTCCGCCAGTGCTACAGGAACATGCACTCTGAAGCCAGTCTCACTGGGTTTCAACGTGGCTCACCACTGACCAGCTGTGTTACCTGAGAAGTTACTTTCGCTCTATGACCCTTTATTGCTCAACCACATATGGGATCACAGTCCTAGTACTGGCTATGAGGATTAAGCAAAATCTTAAGTCTAGCTAAGTTTCTGACACACAGTAAGTAACCAATAAATCACATTCCTTACAGAAAGCAGCATGAGATTTTTTTCTGCCCTGTCCCCCAAATTACACACTCCTTGAGGGTGAAGACCATGTCTAATTCATAGTTGTATCCCCAGATAAGATCCACACCTTTGTAGAATAGATAGGCCAAGCTAATCTTGCATGGTTGCAGTAGCCGCTGGCCCAGTTAGTCAGCATTTTCCCTGAGCTCCATGTACTCTCTTGGGGCTCACCAACCTTCCTGTTTTGCAATTAGCTAGGAGTCACTATATTTCAAGGCCTTTCAGAGATAGCCCCTGGGGTCACTGACAATAAGCAGACAGAACCACTCCTCACTTAGACAGCTTCTTGTCATTGATTACTCATCAATTTTTTCTAAGCACCCTTAAAAACTTTGCTCACTGCTGAGTGCTTTCTGGCTTTGAAAGGTAGCACTTACATGCATGGCCTGTATCTACTAACATACTTAAAGAAGCCATTCATAACCCAATGGACTGCAAACTCAAACAATTCCTGCATAACAAAGCTATCCCCCTCCATACACACACACATACCTCCATCATCTCTGCCTGTGATATGGGCTCTCAGCTGGGTCAGACAGACAGGAAGACCAAGAGGCAGGGAGACAAGGCAGGCTGCTGACCTGTTTACGAAACCTCTCTGAGTTCCTAACAATCTGGCTTGTGACTTACATTTACAGACTGCACTGAATTCAGGGCAAGAAAGAAACAATCCTGTCCCTGAACCACCCAGTACCAACCCTGCCTCCCCACCAGCACTCACGCCTTGACATCTGCTGTCTCCTGGGACGTGCGTGTAAGGGTGCGAGAACGCAGACGCTCGCCGGCCTGCTGGATTTCCTGTAAGTTCCGTTCCACATGGGGAAGTTCAGAGATGCCCTCAGTCTCTGCAGCAAGCTGTTCAGCTTGCTGAAGGAGCTCACCAAACCCTTCAGTATCCATTGGAGATACAGGTCCTAGATGAGGGAGAAAAAAGAAGAGACCTAAATCAAGGGAGAGATCTGAATCTGTTACAAGCTTAATGAAACATGAGGACTCTTTGTAAATAGACAAGGAGACAGCTCATCAACAAGCAGGATTTGTTCCTGAACACAGCCCAAGAATAGGCCTGACAGAGAAAATTAGTCAGATTATGAAGAAACAGATCATTTCTGTGTTATACTGACAGCCCAGAGATTGATTTCTGCCACCAGAACAAATGCAAAGATAGGAAGTCACAGACCAGAATCCCTGCCTCCTTCCACAGACCCAAGCAGATAAGAAAATGGAAGCTGTTTGTGGCAATCTCTGGAAGGATTAAAGACAATCACCCCAGATCTCCTATTCCTCTACCTGTCCCAGAAAAATACCACCAACTAAAGAGTGTCACAATTTATACTGAGATACAGCCTTATCTTCATATGATCTTCCCAATAATTTCATGAGGCCCTGAGGACACAGAAGGAACACTCAGTCATGGAGCAGTTAGTGGCGTTGTTGGCTCTCTTGGCTGTGATTTTCGCTTGACTGGGACCCAGACCGAACCAAGTGTCTTCTAACTCCACCCATACACTATTCTAACACAACTGCACCTTCACTAACATGAAAGACATTCTCTTTTTATTCACGTCCAGGTCTCCATTCACACATTTTTTGGTTCACAAGGTTACCAAGCAAAGAAGATAACATGTCTGCTACCTATGACATTAGATTTAATTGTTATTATACCCCCACTACTGAACGCCCCTGACTCTAATTCAATCATCAACTCTCTAATGTACAGATCGCTCTCCCGCGTCCGCGTGGCGCCGCTTATACGTATTTAAGTCCGCCTCCCCTCTATAAACGCCACACCCTACGCTGTGCCAACTAGACTCACGTGCCTTTTATATGACCTAACCTCTTATCTACGCCGATCACTCCCTACTACTAACCGCGAAAATCTATCTAAACGGTCCTCAGCGACTATGTTACCGCGCCCGTGATCACTAAGTTTAACTTACCGGTAGCCTGAACATTTAGAAAATTTGGGCATTAGTAACTAATAATTATATTAATATAAATAGCAGGTAGCTTTTTAGGGACCATGAATATTAATGAGGGCACCTGTTTCTCCAACAATGGGTTTAGAAAAGCCCTATGAAAAGTACTACTAATTAGCAGAAATAACAAAAAAAAAATTTTTAACTCACCATTTAAATTGATAGAAGATAAAATGTATTGCTATCATAAAGAATTTACATTGCTAAAAGATTAGTAGCAAAGTTATTTATCAAAAAAAAAAAAGGAAATTTGTAGCACTTGTTTTTGTTTAATTTGTGGACAAAGACTTATATACAGGTCCAAAAATAAATCCTCTTTTGCAACTCAGAACTCATTGTACGGTATGAGTTTTGATACACAGAAGAAGGAATATGGTGAACAAAAAAAATTCCTTAAACAGTAGCTCTTATTGCTTATTCTTTTCTTTGAAACCTACAGCTTCTACTGCACATTTGAAATCCCACTAATCTAGCACTACAGTTATAATATTAATGTGAAATATAATTATATTTCAGCGATGAAGCATAGATTAATGTTAAAAGGGCACCACTATCATCATAAGCTTCCAGCAGAAAAATGAGGACTTTTTAAAATGAGCGTTAAAGGACATTAACTTTAAAGGCGAGGGTACAGGTTACAACAAAATGTTCAGCTAGAGTAAACATGAAAACATTTTGGCATTTTTTATGAATGAAATGACTTTAATTTTTAACAAAAAAGTCATATATACCTTAACTCTTAAAAGTTTCTAGAAAGTCACTGCAATTTTTCTCCTGTGGGAGAAAGGGGATGGCAGAACTAGGAAGGTATTCTTCAGTCCCTGCCTTCTACATTTTACTTCCCACCCAGGAACCAGTGATCCTTTTAAAGTTGGTCAGATTCCAACTCTGTTTAAACCTTAAATGACCCCATCAGAGATCATTTCCTGCCCTAATCCCTATCTTCTGTTCACTCCTGTTTCCTCTACTGAATGTTCCTTCCTCAGATACTCTCATTGCTGGTTCCCTATCTCTGTTTCAGCTGTCACCTTGCCTTTGTGACCAACCTAGAATGTGCTATTTAAAAGTACAACATGCCAGGAAAGGTAGTTCAAACCTGTAATCCCAGCCATTCAAGAGGCTGAGGAATTAGAATCAAGAATTCAAGGTCTACAAAAAAAAAAAAATAGAAAGAAAGAAAAGAAAAAAAAAAAAAGCCAGACACCTGTGGCTCATATCTATAATCCTAGCTACTAGGGAAGCAGAGATGAGGAAGATTTCGGTTCAAGACAAGCCCAGGCAAAAAAAAAAAAAAGAGAGACCTTGTCTCACAAGCACTCAACTCACAGAAAAAGGGGACTGATGGAGTGGCTCAAGTGGTAGAGAACCCATCAAGCAACCATGAGGTCCTGAGTTCAAATCCCAGGACCACCAAAAAAAAAAATTCCCTTTTTGTACTGGGTTGGAACTCAGGGATTCATGCTTGCTAAGCAGGCACTCTGCCACTTGAGCCATGCACCCAGTTCAAAAGTTTCATAAATGTTTCCAAATTGATACTTTGAAGTAGTCATCCTATTTTATTATAACTTTTTGATTAATAGTTGATTTTATATGTTTAAGGATAAATTTTTATCCTCCATCAAATAAACATCAACTTAGCCATAAAATGTAAAGGTTAAGCCACTGAATCAATTCTGACCCAAGTTAACTAAAAATTGACCAAGAAATAACTTCAATAGCTTTGTCCAATAGGAAGAAATTACAATGATCTGGGAAGAAAAAATTCCCAAATCTAAGCTTTGTGTTGGGAAAATCTCTGGGAGCTACGGAAGAGGGAACCACCACAAAGCCACACTGAGAATCCACAAAGTGGGACCTGAGTCTATGCAGCAAAACTGGGGCAGGATAGCAAAAAATGAGCAAGGACAGACTAACAGCACTAGGGCTTCTGTCAGCAATGACTAAGCTTCTGAGTATGATCATGAGAGGCCTTTGGCAACCAGAAGGTGTGTGCTTCAGAGCGCATCACAGGGTACCAGGACCTGAGCAACAAACTGGTCTCTGTGGGCCACTTGGCAGAAGTCCTACTGAGCCTCCACAGACCTCCTCAACCACCTGAAAAACTGAAAGCCTTAAAATGAAGGACAAACTTTATCACTGCTGCTAAAAGGTGGAATTAATTACCCTGGGGGAAAACAGGGTAGAGCAGAGGGGCATGAAGGAGGTGTAATTTTCTATGAGTTAACAATATTGTTCACTTTGAGAAAATTCATCAGTTTAGACATTATTTGTGCCCTGTCATTCAATGTTCAAAAACATGTCCTTTACACGATAAAGCGAGAGCACACAGGGAGGTATGAGAATAAGACACCCAAAAAACTAGATAGCATTTGTTGCCCTCAATGCAGAGAAACTAAAGCAGATACTTTAAAGCGACTGAAGCCAATAGGAGAAGGGGACCAGGAACTAGAGAAAAGGTTATTTCAAGAATTAACCTAGAAGGTAACACACATGCACAGGAAATCAATGCGAGTCCACTCCCTGTATAGCTATCCTTATCTCAACTAGCAAAAACCCTTGGTCCTTACTATTACTGCTTATACTCTCTCTTCAACAAAATCAGAGATAAGGGCAAAATAGTTTCTGCATGGTAGCGAGGGGGGTAGGGGGAGAGAAGGAAGGGGTGGGAGGGGAAGGAAGGGGGCAGGGGATGGGGGGGAAGCGGGGAGAAATGACCCAAACATTGTATGCACATATGAATAAAAGAAAAAAAAATGTCCCTTGGGTCACATCAATATTCTTAAATGAGGGGGAAAAACAGAACAGGAAGATAAAATAGCTCCTCTCTGGGGGTGGTGCCAGTGGGAGATGGGAGGATGTATGGAAAGGGGTGAATATGGTGGGTATGGAAATGGAAAAATAAGACCTGTTGGAACTGGGGGAATTGGGGTAAGGGAGATAAAGGAGAATGGTGGAACTCAACTATGATATAGTGTAAGAACTATGGTATAGTGTAAGAATGTCACAATATACCTCCAGTACAACAATAATAATTTAAAAAATTTTTTTTAAATGAGGGGGGAGAAATTCCAAACTGCACATAGGTGAAATTAACTAATTATAAAGGCAGAGAAAAGATGCATCAAATAATTTCAGTTCAGCTGGCAGAGTGGCTCAAGTAGTAGAGAACCTGCCTGGCAAGCATGAGGCAGTGAGTTCAAACCCCAGTACCGCCAACAAAAAAAAAGGGTGGGGTGGGGGAAGAGGGGAGATAAAGGAGAATGATGGAGGGAGTGAATTCAACTATGATATAATGGGCTGGCATAGTGACTCAAGAGCTAAGAGCATCTGCCTCGCAAGCATGACGCCCTGAGTTCAAACCTCAGTGCTCCAAAAAGTAAAAAGAAAAGAAACTACAATAAGAACTTTAGTAAGTGTCACAACATACCCTCAGTACAATAATAAAAAAAAAAAAAAGAAAAAAATAATTTTGATTCACTTGCTACTAACATGTGAGTCTTAATTATGAAAAACATGGTCACTTCCACATTCCCAGCATAATTACATTAAATATTTAATCAAGCCAGAAAAGAGTAGATACTTAAATATTCAAACTGCTAAGCACTTCAAAACCATTCTAAATTAGTACTTTGAAAATGTGGGCCCTTCGGTATTTTGCAGGTGATGTGAATCTTAAGTCTCTTATGGTATTCATGATCATGTTAAAATGTCTACACATCTGTATTCTGATATTAATTATTAGTTCATTAGTTTCTTCTGCTATTAAAGCACCAGCCACAAGTTGAATACTTCTTTTCATTACGAGGACTTGTGGACTTCCAAGCTGGGGAACCACTGAGTTCATTAAAGACCACTGGGTCATCCTAGAAATGGGTGTTGCTGGTTCTCTTGACTATAGTCTATGCTACTCCCAGGATATACTCCAAAATATCAGA